CTCTTGTATTGTATTTATCATCCAATATCAATAACATATTTTCTCCCGTGCCTTCTCACACCTTTCATTAAACAAAATTTCTCTGAGATACAAAGATAGAGGACAGGAGAAAATCATCATTTACATGAACGCAGAACGGACAGGATCACCATCCAATAAATGTTCCACCTTTGAATATCATTACGTTTTCTTGGAGGCAACCTTATATCTTGGAAGAGCAAGAGGCAAAAGGTAATTGCATGATTAAAATACGTTGAACATCAATCCATGATGGTACAAACATCCAAACTCTAATGGATCGAAAAGCTACTCAGATAATTAAAGTTTGGAGAGGTAAGTCAAATAAAACTCTTTTATTTAATAATCTGCTTTTCATATTACACCACAGTTTGTATACCAAGAAAAAATCAAACACGTACAGATTCCAGTCACTTCATCAGAGAAATGAAGCTCTGGGAAGATACAGTTACTAGATATGTGAAGTCGAAGAATCAACTTGAAGATATATTTAGCGGGTCCTTTCCGATCTACAAAGCAGTTACATAGCATACTACTGTGTAAGCATCCATTTGAGCGTAAGTGTTAGATTAATTGATTAAATTAGACTAGAGTTAGAGGATACTCAAATATATAAATATGTATTGGTGTCTCAAATCAGATGAATGAACTGTATATACTATACAAAGTATTTACAAATGAGCCCACACCTAATATAGTTGTCTTCGTGCATTTCTCCAACCTTCTTTTATTCGTTTGTTTTTCCCACATTCTCATCCCAAATGTAGTCATAATTACTAGTTGCAAAAGTGCAAATGACACAGTTGGCTCGAGCTAACTCAGCATTCTCCAAACACACCTCAAAATCATTTCAAGCACCATAAAGAACACTTTTGATATGGAACTTACACAGATAAAAATGCATTAAATTAATAATTTGCAATGTGGACAAAATACAAGACTATGAATAACTAGGCAAACCAGTTGCTTGATAGACAAAGAAGACAGTAGAACATATTACACCTAAACAAAATTTAATAGGCAGGAATACCTATCTAAGAACTAAACAGCTAGAATATGCAACTAAGACAAGAATTGAATTATCGAAGACAACAAAATACACAATCCAAAAGCATGATTTCAGCCTAACCTCTTCGGAAGAATTACACAAAGTGTAACTGCAGAAGCATGCTGAGAAAAAATTGCAAAATTTATTCCACTTTCAATTTCTGATACTCCAAGTGGATGAGCAAGACCAGGGGTAATTTCAAATGAAGGGAAAGTCTCCAGCATTTGAGGAGCTTCTTCCTAAAATCATGAGCACATTAAAGAAATCAAATCATTAGTTTTCCATAGAACAGTAGCAATAGTTGTTCGCTTTCAAGAACAAAGGTCAGTCAAAACACGAAACAAACAAAAGAAAGCAAAGTCGTTTGGTTTGCAAAATAAGGATAAGTTAGGATTATCTCATCTGTATCGTATAAGAAGATCATATGTGAGATAAGAAACTCCAGAGCAATTGGCTCCATCAATTCCTATATCACTCTATTAATGTCACCAGAAAAAGTGAACATCACAAAAAAGATAATTTTCACAATATGTCTAGGTAGAATTGTGATTTCAAGTAGTACCTAGTACTGGTCAAATGCCGTAAAGCGTACTATTTCTGACAATGGATATCTTCTGATTTAGTCTGATTTAGAATATGGCATGTTAAAGTAGGTGCTCATACCACTTTCTGAAACAAAGCACTAGCATAGATCTCAGTGACCCAACTAAATCATTAAACATGTCCTCCTAGTTTGCGCATGATGAAAGAAAACGGTGAAGACTGTAATTCAGCATATCAGATTCCCAAATAGAAAAATCTCAAGGCATTGTACAGCACCCAGAAAACCATCTAATAAGAAGGATTTGCCTACACACTGTTTGTTCACTGGAAAAGAGAAGTGCATGAAAATCAAATCTGTTGACTTCACAGATGGTTAGAAGGAAAGATGTAGGAATCAAACCTCATATGTTACATCAATACCACATACATTGATCTTTTTTGATGAACTCCTCCTTTTTCTTTTAAACAGCAAGTGTTAATTTTCTTTTACTTCAATTTTAGGAATACATTTTCTCATAACTTTCTTTACAAAAAACGGAATATATTTCATGCTTAGCAAGTGTTAATTTCTTTTACTTCAATTTTCTAGGAATATATTTTCTCATAACTTTCCTTGCAATCAAATAGTGAAAAATGTGCATTTCATGCTTAGAATTCCAACTTCAGAACAGTGTTTTAAAAGACGTGGGCGTAAGGCGGGGAATTTTACATATGCCTCAGTAGGGCGTAAGCCCCGAGGCGCGGGGCATAAGCCCCATAGGTATTTAATTTTTAATATTTTATAAAATAATATAATGACAGTTAATATTTATAAACATGTAAAATTGCATAAATATTGAAGAAAACTATATATATATGTGTGCTCCATCCCCACAAAAAACTAATCAAAACAATCTATTATACGTTACTTACAAGCACAAGTAATTTGAGTCTAAAAGAATAAAGTTTTCTATATGGAGGAACAAAAAGGATGATTAACCTGCACTTTGATCTTTGAATTTGCTGCTATGAAGAAAAATGTAGTTATCTTTGTATTTGTAAAAAAAATTAAATATTCGTTGCTTTTGGGAGATATTAGCAGACTAGCGGACAAGATAAAAAATTGGGAAAACCATGAATTAGGGCTTAAATCAATAAAAAAAAAGTCTTTACTTTTAAATTTAATACTTTTGAGTTCCTTTTTAAACCTTTTGAGTAATTACCAAACTGACTTTTGAGAATTTGGGTATTATATGAAGAACTAATTCAACAAATTTTGTTTTAATTTGAAAAAGTCTCTGGGGCTTACTCCTTACTAAAAAAACGCACCCCGAACGCCCGGGCGTACGCCCCAAATTGCGGGGCGTACGCCTCTTGAGACTTTCGCCCCACACCATCGCCCCGGGGCGCTTTTGGTACGCCTCGCCCAGGGGCTCCCCCAGAAACGCCTTTTAAAACAGAGCTTCAGAAGCTTACACAGGATATTTTATGCTCAGCAAGTAAAGAATTTGCAAAAGTTTCTTACGCCTTTGTTTACTCTCAAAATCGGATAACAATTGAATTTGTAAGTGGTTTTAAGGATACATGATTTAACTTGATACAAAACAACAAATTAGATTGCAATTGGAATAAGTAATGGAAAAGTAAATGCTAACCACACAAATTGAACAATCTTAGCCCTGGAAGGTTAGCCACCCTCGAGCCAAAAGTGCTTTGATTGATATCAGAACAGAACAACGAGAGAATAATAAGAACTTAAAGAGAATAATAATATATTGCTTTGGGATGCAAATGAGACCTCCATCCGGTAGTGACGATCTCTCCACCGAGTCCCTTGCTCCGAAACAGGGAGAAGAGAAGAAAAGAAAAAGGGCACCGAGTTCTCCGAGCTTGGAGAAGAAAAAGCCAACGAGAAGGCTGGTGGATAAGTCTAAGGAAAGCACCAGCGCTCGAGCACCACCTTCGAGTTCTCTCTATCAGCTGAGGGATGAATCCGAAGAACAAGAGGAAGAAACCTTCAATCTGGTGACCCGAGTGTCGACACGACTTGAAGGGCAAAGGGCCTCCGAACCAGAGAGAAACGATGCCGATCTTCATCGAGCTAGGGAGGTCCAGGAGGAGGCCGAGACTGAAGCTTCCCGGGACGTGGGCAGTGCGCCGAAGGAATCTCTCGGTGCGATAGAGATCACCAAGTCACCTTTGTTCACTGAGTCCATGTACAATGAAGCTCAGACGGTGAAAGAAAGTCCCAATGAGGGAGTCCTCGGAACGGACGATCCCTTTCGCGGCTTCTTTGATGGAGTGGACTCTACGGCCACAGAGGGTGTCACCGGCTTGGGTGATTTAGAGATACCGAGAAAGAGCCCATCTTCGGGAGCAAGATCTTCCTCGAGTCCCAAACTGGTCAATCGATTCCCTGCCCGAGTGTGGATCCTGGCCGGAAGCGATTCATCACTTTCTTCCTTCCGGAGGACTCCTGGGTTCTCTCCGCCCCTGTAGGGGTGGCTAGTTATCTTCGATGGCTGGTGACAGAGGATGATCAGGCCAAGATGAATGAGGTGGATGCATCCTGTCTGTTCAACGAAGCGCAACAGGCGTTAAATCGGGTAACTTTAGATATTCCTCAATGGTTCTCAATTTGTACTTAGGCTATTTTGCAGATAACTCTTAACACTTTCTCTTTGTGTTTGTAGGCCTCGGTGCTTCACCACGAGACTTTTCTCCGATACCGGGATGAGCTAAAACAGCTTGAGTACGAGGTTCGAGGGCTCACTGAGAAGAGAGATTCCAACAAACTTCTTAGTGAGCAGCGTGCCTTCGAGCTGAGTGGAGGTGGCTCGAAAGAAGCATGCCGACTTGGTCGAGCAGGTAAAAATATTTGAGCTTAGTGACGAAGAATTAGACTTGGTGACTAACGGTCAGAATCCGCAGGTCCAACAAAAAATCGATCAAATCGGTCAACTGCGAGCTGAGATGGATGCTGTGAAGGCCGAGACCGATGAATGGTGAGGCAGGCAGGATTGTCTGGCCTCGAAAAAAGAGGCTGCTCGGGCGCAACTGACTTCGACTGAGGTCCAGCTTCGAGCAGCAAAGGAAAAGGCCGAGGCGCAGGCCAGAAAGGTCGAAGAGCTCTAGTCTCGGCTAAGTTTGGCTACCTCCGAGCGGAAAATTATGGTCAAGGAACTTGAAACGGCCAAGTCAGTGGCGGCGGTGGTTAAAGCCGACGCCGACGAGATGGTGGCCCAATATAAGGCCGATGCCGAGGCGGTCCAGGACCGCTTAAAAGATATCGTTGAATACGAGAAGCGGTAGTCACGAAGAGAGGCCCTCGAGGAGATCCATGCTCGGGGTTTCGATCTATCGGCCTAGATCGAGACCGCTAAGGGGCTCGAGGCTGAGGCCAAGAAGTTGGCCTGCCCCGAAGAAGAAGAAGACGACTCCGAGGGTTCCGATGGAACCAGGGGGGAAGAAGACCAAGTTGTTTAGACGCCTTTGTAAAATATAAAAAAAAAAAATTGTTTTTTTGTACTCGTGTCCTCCGAGGGTTTTTTCTTGGTTACCCGGGTCCATCCGTATTTGGTTGTACCCGGAATAGCATCGAGAAAACTGAGGATCTCCTGGCCGGCCGTGGCATTGATTATGCGATCGATGTTGGGCAAAGGGAAAGAGTCCTTGGGACATGCCTTATTCACATCCTTATAGTCTACACACATTCTTAATTCATTCCCTTTTTTAGGGACTACCACTACGTTCGCTAACCAATCCCGGTATTTAACCTCCCGAATAGAACCAATTTTAAGGAGTTTAGATACCTCGTCCTTGATGAAAGCATGTTTGATCTCGGACTGGGTCTCCTTTTCTGCTTCACCGGATGGGATTTCGGACCCAGGCTTAGCTTATGAGTGGTTATCTCCGACGGGATCCCTGTCATGTCAAAGTGGGACTAAACAAAACAATCTATGTTAGCTATAAGAAACTGAATGTGTTTTTTCAGGAGCTCGGGATTTAACCCCGTGCCCAGGTATACCTTTCGATCGGGTAGGTGCTCGACCAATATGACCTGTTCCAGCTCCTCGACCGTCGATTTAGTGGCGTCGGAGGCTATAAAATATCTGGGTACCCCGTAGTCATAATCATCGTCTTCATCAGTCCCCTGTTTCTCCGGTTGGGTCGGAGCTGGTGTTGGTAATTGCTATTTAGTTTCTGGCTTTGTGACCGAACTCGACCATCTTGTCGTTGCAAGTGCGGATACCGAAATAGCCTCTTCGATCGCAAACATCTCCTTCGCGGCTGGCTGTTCTCCGTAGATTGTTTTAATTCCGCTTGGTGTTGGGAATTTCAACACTTGGTGCAGAGTTGAAGGTACTGCCCTCATGTTGTGGATCCATGGCCTCCCGAACAAAGCGTTGTATCTCATGTCTCCTTCGATTACATAAAACTTAGCTTCCTGGATGGTCCCGGTAGTGTTCACCGGTAATGTTATCTCACCCTTAGTGGTTTCACATGTCACGTTGAATCCGTTTAGAACTCGGACTGCAGGCACAATTTGATCTTGTAAACCGAGCTGCTCCACGACCCTCGGTCGGATGATGTTGGCCGAGCTACCTGGATCAATTAACACACGTTTAACTCGAATTTTATTTACGAGTACAGATTTTACCAGTGCATCATTGTGGGGCTGCACGATCCCATCCGCATCCTCGTCGTTACAAGGTTCCTTCCGGTATGTAATCTCGAGTTCGTTTCTCCCTCATGATGGACACTTTGGTGCGTTTCAACATCGGCCCCTGAGGGACATCGACCCCACCAATGATCATGTTAATGACGTGTTGAGGTTCTTCTTGTTCGGTCTGTTTGTTAGAATCCCTATTTCTGAAATCATTCTTGGCTCGGTCGCTCAGGAATTCTCGAAGATGCCCGCTGTTGAATAATCGGGCTACTTCCTCTCTCAAGTGGCGGCAATCCTCCGTTCTGTGGTTGTGCGTGCCGTGATATTTACATATCTGGTTAGGATCCCTTTGGGTTGGATCGGATTGTAGAGGTCAAGGCCATTTGGTATCTTTGATGCGTCCGATAGCTGATGCAATGGCGGCAACATCGATATTAAAGTTGTATTCCGATAACCTCGGTGCTTCTTTAGGCCTGATGGGCCTATCGAAGCTGTTTTTGCTCATGAGTCCCCGGTTGCTCTGACCTCGGTCACTTCTCCTTTCGTTTCTCATAGAGTTCCGCCCAAACCCACTGCTTCTTCGGTCTCCATTATACGGCTGGTACCGATCCCTGTTTGGTCTCGGTTCACGATCGATGTCTCTCTTGACTCTGTCAATGCTTCTGACGGGATAAACAGACCCCGAAGGGGACCCCGAGTTGATCATCTCCCACTCTGATCTTCAATTGATACCGGTTATGCACGCCGGCCCTAGTACAACCGGATATTCTACCAGGTTTTGTTTCAACTGCTGTGAAGCCACCGATCTTCGAACAATGAGCCCTTGGGTGAAAGCCTGAACGGCCCAATCATCAGCGACTGGTGGCAGGTCCATTCGTTCCATTTGAAACCGGGACACGAACTCTCTGAGCATCTCGTTATCCTTCTGTTTCACTTTGAAAAGGTCTGATTTCCTGGTTTCGACCTTAATGGCCCCGGCGTGTGCTTTCACGAAAGAATCCGCAAGCATAGCAAATGAATCAATAGAATTAGGAGGTAAGTTGTGATACCATATCATAGCCCCTTTTGACAGGGTCTCTCCGAACAGACTCGATCTCGTCATCCTCCAAGTCGTTCCCTTTGATGGCACATGTGTAAGAGGTTACATGATTATTTGGGTCGGTCGTTCCATTATACTTAGCAATCTCGGGCATGCGGAATTTCTTAGGGATTGGCTTCGGAGCCGCGCTCGGAGGAAAAGGTTTTTGCACGAACTTCTTGGAATCCAGGCCTTTCAATACTGGCGATGCTCCTGGGATCTGGTCTACCCTGGAATTATAGGTTTCCACTTTTTTGTCATTAGCTTAGATTTTCTTCTCCCCTGATTCTATCCATTTTGTCAGCTCTTCGAGCATCTTTATGATCTCGGGGTTAGCTCCCAATTCATGTTCATTTGACCTTTCTGCAACCGGTTCATCCCTGCGGGTGACTTTCTGGGGTGGATCGGGTTCAACCCTGCTCGGTGCACGACTTTGGTTCTGTAACTGAGTTATTGTTGCCTGTTGAGCCTGCAGCATTTCAAAGATCACCCGTAAACTGATCTCGTCTCCTCCAATGTTTTGTGTGTTTCAAGTTGCCGATCGGGCTCCACCGCGGACGCTATTCTCGAGGTCGGTAGGCAAATTTGCGTCGATGGGATTGTGAAAGATGTTCTACTAGAAATATTCTTGTTATTGCTTCGACTCATATTCCCTAAAAAGTGGATTCCGCTCTAAAAGCTCCGAATAAATTAAATACGTGCATTAAGATATGAAAGCTTCTTCTTCCACAACAACGAAAGCACCTTTTCACTCTTTCATATACTAGGGGATTTCACTTGGAAAAAAAAAGTTCCATACTAACGGATTCGGGTCCATAACCATGGGTTCCAATGCACGAGATCTTGTAGCACTTACCAAGCCACATGTGAATTAGCGTCAATCGGACCCGCGGCCGGAATTCCGATCGGATCAACGGGCGGCACCTCATCACCAGGCGCTATGTTGTTATTTTCACCTTGATGGCCGGACTCGTCCACATGTAGGGGTGCTGCTGATTGAGAGTTTGACATTTTGTGTTTTAACCTAAAATTAAAGACACTTCAAAGAACAAGCATAAAGTAGTGTGTTATGGAGATTTGTATCAAATAACCACTATTATCCTTAGCCCCACGATGGGCGCCAAACTGTTTACCCTCAAAATCGGATAACAATTGAATTTGTAAGTGATTTTAAGGATACGTGATTTAACATGATACAAAACGACAAATTAGATTGCAATTGGTATAAGTAATGGAAAAGTAAATGCTAACCACACAAGTTGAACAATCTTAGCCCTAGAAGGTTAGCCACCGTCGAGCCAAAAGTGCTTTGATTGATATCAGAACAGAACAACGAGAGAATAATAAGAACTTAAAGAGAATAATAATATATTGATTTGGGATGCGTGTTACAAATGTATCCCATGAATAATCAGAACCTCCATTTATATAGTAGAGGAATTCTACTTTAGGTATAATTCTATAAAAGGTAAAAGAACTCTTGATTCGCTGATTGTCGGTTCCTTACTGATACGTGCCGAGATTCCCGCCGCAATATTCGACCAGTCGCGGATATTTCGGTCTTCTGTTAGTTAACTCGACAATGTCTTTCCGAGCTCGTTCGAGGCTAAGGTCGACGCCGGACTCACTGCTCCTCGAAGGCAGGCATTCCGATCTCGGGTTCTAGCTTGGTGGGATTCGAGGTCGATCTTCAGTCCTTGGTTGCCACGTTCCAAGACTAATCTACCAAGTTGTAGGCGACCTCGATTTCGACCGTATGCAGCCTTAAACAAACTTTAATACCAATTCATATTTCATCTCATGAACATTCCTAGTGTATATTCGCTGTTAAGAGGCCATATTGAATAGCCCAATGTACATAAATCTCATTTTCGCGTCTACACAGGAACCAAGATCAATTTAAAACATCTAAAACTTGATAGGTGATAAATTGGAGAACCACCATTAGATCTTTCAACATTATTCATTAAACAAATGACATCTTTAATTCCCAACAGCAAAGACATGCGTAAATAAGCACATAAAAGTATTAGTCTTTTAGCAAAGAAGGAATTCAAATTTTCCAAGCAACAATGTACACACACACATATAAAGAGAGAAATGCAAGTACCTCGATCACACGCTGCTCTTCAGCACGACGAGCATAGACCTTAGCAGGACTAATCTTGTGATGCTCCCTTGTCTAACTAAAGCCAAGAAACACTATGTCACTGACTTTTCAACAATCACCTTTGTCTTTTCCAAAATGTTCGAAAAATTTAAACTTGTGACACCACAATCTTAAATATAACAATAAGAAAGGGTATCCTACCTTACTGAAACTATTCTGCCCGAAAAATTCAGCGGGAGGTCTTTTACTCGAGTTCAATCTGCCACCAAAAGGGCAAAAAAGAAGTGAATTTATCTATTACTGCACGGAAATAATTGCAACAACTGGAAAATCTCAGACAAAACAATTACCCTATGATGGAGGACGCACGATATGGAGCAATAAAAAAGCGGTTGAAATTATTGGATGAAAGCTGAGGAGCAGGAAGTATCGCCACCACGGGCGATGCCGTCATCTTTATTTTCCAGAAAGAACTAAATTGTGAAATTAAGGAGAGTGAAAGTGTGAAGATTGGATTGCGTGATTCGTCGGATTTTTTGTTGGATATTCGAGAGCGGCATGGTTGGAAGGAAGCGGAGTGAGGTCATTTTTGGTCTGCCACGTGAAAAGGTTGTACGTGAACGGCCCGCCCCGCATCTCCCTCCTCATAAATATCTCACGTGGGCCACTGTGGCGCGAGAGCGCGGGTACGCTACACTAACTTTGATTCTCACCAAAAAAAATAATTTAACGGCATCACAAGCTGAAAAATAATTCGGGCCAAATATATCTCGTACTTTCGAATATAGTTTACATTTATTCTCCGTTATACTATCTGGTCAAATTTACCCCTATCGTTATATTATCTGGCCAGATTACACATATCATCAACAAACATTTAAAAATTACCCATTTATCTGTTAAGTAATCCAAAATCTCCCAAATGCCTTTTATTTAAATCACTTGTTGTTCTTCTTGCTTCGCTATTTTCAGAAATTACTATTGATGTGACTGTTAAATTTACTAGACTATACAAATTATTCATGTATATTTTTAGTTACCAATGCACCCATTTCTCTTCTTGTAATAATGGGTTTGGAATTGAATTAAAATTTTATTTATTTTTCAACAATATACACATCGTAGAATTCAATGAGTCTATTTATTGTTTATTATATGCAGCTGATCATTATATATGTACATGTATATTCAAATATATTTTATCATTGTCTAGTTATTATAGAGTTCGATCGACTAACTTAAGAGTGCACAATGTGTAGGCAATTCATTAAACCAAAGTTGAATTCGACAATGTAAAGTATTCGAAAAACTTCAACTTCAATCACTAATACTTGCAAAGTCTCCATACATTTGATGCAACGAATTCATTAAAATTGTGATATTGTAAATACTTTTAGAATTTAGATAAGCTACCTAATTTAGATTCTTCGATTTTCTATACTTTGTTTATTAACGTTGTATTATTTAATATTTTTTCTCTTACCATTTTTCAATTCAGAAAGGAGGTAAATGCCAATTATTTAGAAAATAGTGGACCAAAAAGAAGAATCAGTGACTTAATTAAACTGATTTGGGAGATTCTGGGTCACCTAACGGACTAAGGGATAATTTTTAAAAGTTTACTGATTACAGGGGTAAATTTGGCCGAATAGTATAACGGAGGTTAAATGTAGACAATATCTGAAAGTAGAGGGGTATATTTTGACCCATTTCCCAAAAACTATAGCTAGAGTTTCCTCTCTTCTCATACCCATCTTCGTCTTTTTCGAGAATTAGTGAATTTTGATTTTGATCACTAACAAATATGTCAATTATATTGAATTAATTGAAGGACCTGGTGAACGACTTGGTCCTATTGGTTGGTTCTCGTAGAACGATAGCACTTAATCCTAAGAGGAGTAGGATTCACTTTTGTGTGAAATATTTTTTATTTCGGGTTTTATGACCTAGCAGTCGCCCAAGTAATAGAGAATCTTGGAGGATCTTTATTGTTAACTTGGAAACCAAATTTGTAAAGAAGTAGAGATATAATTGGAGTTTATTTCGAGCAAAGAATCATATTTTCCTTATACTTCCTTTATTCTCTAGCATTAGGAGATCTTTTATGATTTCTTCCTTTATTTCTAACCCTTGCTGCTGACATGTATCTATATATACTTTGAGATTGTCTTTTTGCAGACTTGAGCACCTACATTAAGAGAGCACAAAGCAAGAATAAAATCGTGAAAGCGAGAAAAAAATTGTGAAAGCAAAAAAGAGATCATACTGAAGAACCAAGCCTTGATATTGGAGACTCTTTCAGTTCTTTAGTTTTTTTAGATCTTGTAACAGGTGTTTCAAAATTGTAACCTTATTTTCTTATTTAAGAAGTACTTTTGAGATATTTTTCTCTATGAGAAAATTCAAGTCTTAGGCTAGAGGTAGCTTGAGCATTTTGTTATAATCAGAGTAATTGTAGGCATTCAAGTGACTATGATTTAGTCTCTTAGGTTATAAGAATTTTTAACCTTAAACTGCTCATTGTTGTGTGAAGTTTTTTGAGAGAAATCCAGAGATAGGTCCATGGGCGAAGCCACATGCTCATAAGGATTGTCACTTGACCACCCTTTGTCGAAAAATTATACATACGTTTTAGAAGTATATAACACATATTGAACACTCTTTATCGGAAAAAATTTTCACTTCTTTTAAATTTAAACATCCTTGGAGAAATTCTTAGCTTCGCCACTGGATGGATTGTGATTTTTACTCCATTGAACAAGGAGATTTTTCACGTAAAAAAAGGTCATGTGTTATTTAATTCCGCACTTTACTATTTATACAACTTCTCCCCAAGGACTGGTAGTACAAGTCATGAGCCACTAAGACTTAGATTTACAAAACTAAAATTAAATAAATACAACCTATGTTTGAAATGTACATGAACAGAATTCGAATCTAAAGCTACCAAGAACAAGTGATAACCATATCTGGAACGTATGTACATCTCCAATGCCAGCCCTTGCCATGTACAACAGCATCAACACCAAGATCTGTACGCAAGGTGCAGAAGTGTAGTATGAGTACAACCTATCTCATGTACTCAATAAGTATCCTAACTAACCTCGGCGAGTTGAAAGAAGCAAGAACTATAGATGGTACTCACTAACACTTGTGCAATTCATAATTTCAACAAGTATAGAACAGATACATGATCAAGTCAGGAAATCTCAGGTAAAACCATTTCGATGCTCACGATTCTTTTGTTTTAAAATGTTCTGCTCCGTCAACAATCCAGCATATAAAGAAGATCTGCAAGTAAAAAAATCAGGTAAACAGTCAAGGAAATTTCAAGTAAAAATGATATGCAATAACCAAATATCAGTCCGTTGCGGCGCGCAACCCGATTCAATAACAGTAACCAGCTCTCCCAAAGCTCACATCAACCAGAAACCCGTCGGTTTTTCACAATCCGCGTGTACACCATCAAGAGAGAAACATGAGAGGGTGACCCTAAGGGGATGGATCCGTATCCATATGCAAGAATGTCCAATTCAACGTGCTACCAGCCCGGCGTGGTTATAGACTCAATATCATAAATCGCCCAACGTGGTCACAGTCTCAATATCTACCGCACAGACAACTCACGTGACGATACTCACAATCCGCCCCGTGTGGTCACAGGCATAAATATACAATCAGTCTGGCGTGGTCACAAGCATAGCAACATAATCCGCCCGGCATGGTCACGGGCATAACAATACAATCTGCCCGGTGTGATCACAGGCATAACAACACAATCCACCCTGTGTGGTCACATGCATCCAATCCAATCATATCACACAGGAGCAAATAAATAAGAATACATGTATGTGATGAATGAATAACAAATCCCATGCTCCTTGACTAGTATAAATGACATGTTAAAGTGTAGGCATGTGCAAAGTAGGCTATCATAGCTCAAATCGGTAATTTCATCACAAAAAAGCATTTATCAAGTTCATCCAGAGATTAAACTTCTGTAGCCTCAAACATGGCTCAAATAGTTCACACAATGTTACAAATATGAGAAATATCATAGTTTAAATCTTAACATTCAATTCTAGGTTTATCCTAGCCTAAGCACAACCTGAGCATGGATAAATACCCCCGGTGTTAGCACATGGGCTCAAACCCCACACATGTGCGCACCTATAGCACATAGCTATCACAAATAATTTAGGCAACCAGTGTCTCAACCAAGTTTAGATACGATACTTACCTCAAATAAGCCAAATCCAATATCGAGCAAGCCAAACAATACTATAGGAATGTCATCACGCACGTACCGACCTCCGAATGGCTCGAAACTAGCCAAAAGAAAGTCAAGAACATCAAACAATGCCAAAGAAGCATACCCAATCGATAAAAGTCGAATCTTTAATAAAAAGCCCCAAAGTCAACAAAAAAGTCAAACTCTAGCCCACACCTCGGAACCCAACAAAACTTATAAAATTCGATAACCCATTCAATTACGAGTCCAACCATACTAGTTTCACTCAAATCTGACTCCAAATCGATATTCAAAACACAAAAATTCACTTTATGAAATTTTAGATAAAATCCCCAAATTCCTCTTTGAAATTCATAATCCAAATGCCAAAAACGAAGATAGATTCATGAAATATAATCGAAACCGAGTAGAGAACACTTACCCCAATCCATGTGATGAAAATCGCCTCCAAAATTGCCCAAATCTGAAGTCTTCAACTCAAAATATGACAAAAAGAACCAAACTTCGATATATAATGAGTCTACCCAGAACTTCCGCATTTGCGAACAAAATGCCTCACCTGCGACCTCGCATTTGCGAGCTAAAATGTCGCAACTACGAATTCAACTTAAGGAACAATGATAGCACCTGCATAACACCTTTCACGCCTGCGACTCCGCAGAAGCATATGCACCACCGCAGAAGCGGAGACCCAGCTCACGTCCATTCTCGCAGAAGCGTTCCAGACCCCGTAGAAGCGCTTACGCATCTGCGCTTATTCCTCCGCAGAAGAGGAACTCACCAAAACACCTCTGATTCGCAAAAACGAGATTTCCATCGCATAAGCGCATCCGCACCTGCGGCCAATTATGCGCAGGTGCGATGAACCAGCACCAAAACTGCCAACATGACCAAAATAATCCGAAACTCATCTAAAACAAACCCGAGCCCATCGGAACCCCGTCCAAACATGCTAACAAGTCACATAACATAACACGGACCTATTCGAGTCCTTATATCACACATAACAACATTGAAACGACAAATCGCACCTCAAACCAAACTTAATGAACTTTTGACTTTCAACTTCCAAATCTCGTGCCGAACCATATCAAATCAACTCGGAATAAACTCAAATTTTGCACATAAGTCCCAATGACATAACGAAGCTATTCCAATTCCTGGAATCACAATCCGAATCTGATATCATCAAAGTCAACTCCCGATCAAACTTATGAACATTTCAAACCTCCAAATTTCCAACTTTTGCCAATTAGTGCTGAAACCTTCTAGAAATATCCAAATGCAAATCCGGGCATATGCCCAAGTCCCAAATCACCATCCGGACCTAATAGAATCATCAAAACTCCGATCCGAGGTCACATACTCAA